GTGAATGAAACAGGGCAGTGCAGACTTTGCCAGTAATCCTCCCCTTTAACCCCACCACATCCTGTAGGAATAAGGACAGGCTGAAACAAAAGGCTTGGCAACACAAGTCTGCCACTGTGATTGAAAATCCTGGGCCATTCAAGTCAAACACAGCTTCTGGACTTAGAAACCATCCCCAAAGCCTGCCCTCGTTGCATTGCTTTGTACCTTCACTGTTCGAATGCCAAGCTGGGCTGCTGCTTTTAGGTTCTGGCTGCTGTTGTCGAGGAAGATGGATTCCTGGGGCTGAACACCCAAGCGCTCCAAGCACAGCTTGTAGATACGGGGATCTGGCTTGTGCATTCCTTCGCGATAAGATTCAACCATCTACGGCAACAACAAATAGATTATGCATGAGCCTACTGTGACCACAAACATCTGTGCAGTGTTGGAAATGGAGCATGGGAGGGTGGGAAAGAGACTGACAGTCTAAGTAACATGTGAAATAAAGGACACGGGGAATGGAGGGCTGACAGAGCTGGATAGGACGTGATTCAAGTGGCTGCGTGGGTGCCAATTGCTTGGCTGTGGCTCTGTCAGCTCAAATAAGCTAAACAGGATCAGCCAGTCCTTGGATGGAAGATATCCAACGAGATGTCACGATGTGGGAGACTCACTGGATGTCCCAGACTATGCTGAACCAATTGCTCAGTGCTGTCCAAGAAAGCCTTGGATTGCACCACCTTCCAAATGATCTGGAAAAGCGGTGTCCTGACCATTGCACCTATCAACCACGCCAAAGCGATCTTCACAGCAGCGGAGATGTTGATCATAATCATCTGCCCAAACTTGGATCAAAAAAATCTTGAGTCAGTCTCTGGATAGTCACATTGCCCTCAAAACCATAAAAAATTCAAGCAATATTTCACCCCTGCACTGACAGACACTCTAGGAATAGAAATGAATCTATTAGCTAGACATAAAAGCCAATCCTAATGGAAATCCACATTCAATTAATTTTTTTTTTCACTAATTACTGTGCAGTGCTGTTGCCTGCTGTTAAAGAAGAGCCACACTGCATGAGTGATGACACCGGATAGCCCATGCTTATTAAAGTGCTTTGAAACAGTCTGGGATGAAAGGTACCACAGAACATCACAACAGAGCATCACTCCACTAAGAGAACTTCATAGGCACTGGTGTCACTAGTATAATGCACAGAAAGCCGAGTCGATAATGACATAATGTTGACAAGATGACTTTAAACAGTCCCAGGTTTTAAATGTGTTGATACGACTCTTCTTTGCATATTTTGTTGTCTCAATCAAAGCTATAAAACAAACAAGTCATGAATAAACTCCTGAAATTCAAAGATTTGAGCTGGGGCACACAAAACCGCAAATTTTCTGTCATGCTGAAGCGAGTCCTCATAACTGCCTGTTCAAGTGAAGCCATTCGAACCAGCCTCAAGGTTCATGGCTAATCTGGTTCATCTTTTCAAAAGTGAAGCATGCTGGGAGATGGGTCTCTGCCTGCTCATCAGCTCAGACAGATCAGCATGTTGCGGTAGTGGGATTTTTCTAATATGGGGGATGCTTTGCAATTCTTTGGGATGAAACAAGCTTTAAAAGAGTAAGGACTCAATACACAGGAAGCAGGGGCACTGGGTAATAACATTTATTTCTTGTAGAGTGTTTCAGCTTCCAAGTCCTTTATTGACATAACTAGCTGTGCCTGTTACACGTATACTTGTGGTTGCGTGGGCATTTTGCAATGAATTTTCAAATGCACAAGTACCTGCCACTCACTCAGACCCTCTTCAAGGCCCAGTCACTACAGCGAATTATGCCAGGCAACATTTTCACAGATTGTTACATTTATGTCTACTAATACGTGCTGCTGGTTGCCGTTCATTTGGTACCTGCGTGTAAAGAATTTCACTTGCAGCTTTCTATAGACCTAGCTACAGAAATGCATTTTGGAATCCATCCAGGCTTACCACATCGAAGTGCTTTCGGTCTAGGGGCAGAAAGGCCTCTCCATTCAGCAGAGAGAAGTTGTTGCTTAGAAGAGCTGTCTTAAGACCTTCCGCACGGATACACTGTACTGCTTCTGCCATTATGGGGAGCTGTTTTATCATCTCATTTCTGATTAAGTCCGAGAGAAAAGAGTCCACTGGAACACAGACATTTGCCTAAGAAACCAGAGAAACCCCCAAGAATGATAATTAACCATAAATGGTTTTTAAGCAGGGAGGAAAATAAGAGTGGTTGGGTAGGTAGGCTGCCTGCTCATCTTATCTTGCCGTCCTACTTCCTTTGGCAGCAGAAGGCAGTCAGGGAATCTCCCAGCTAAATTGCTTAGACCAAATAAACAAGCGTTCTCACATTACTAATTCTACAGAAGCAGCAGCAGAGATAAAGGGCTGATTTTGGGAAAGAGAAATGCACTAGGACTGTGCCTGCCACGGTATCAAAGCAGGTTAGAGATAAATACTGCTTTACCATTCAGCAGGCAGGAAAGGAATCTGCATTTTAGACCGAGCTGTTTCAAAAAGACTTGATTGAAAAGAAGATTCTTGCACTGTGTTCCTGGAGCTGTGGTGGAGGGGCTTCTACTGATCTTAAGAACACTCCCTGGAGACCATGGCCTCCATCCATTGAGCATGCCCATGTAGGAAGTAGCAGCAAAAGGCTTTTAGCTGATCCCTGACTCTCTGACTTCTCATCTCGGCTGATCCTAGAGGTGTCCCGAAATAAAAAAAGTTATGAAATATGCAGGAAGAGGCTGGTGGAAGTGAAGGCAAATTCAGCCGGTCATCCTGCCTGGGTACCAGAGTGATGATGGCAGTGAAAAGTCTGCCCTGATCAGACAGCAATGCTTCCTAGATGGTAAATCCAGACCCTTCCATCAGAGGATTTCTTTTAAAAGCTCGTCTTTCCTCACTGAACCACCACATCGCAGGATCCCGTTTCCCTGCAGTCAGGAAGCACAAAGAGAGGAGGGGGGAGTTGGCTTACAATCTCAAAGCACTGCTGTCCCAATTCCTGCAAAAACTCCACACTCGTCAGCTCTCCTCTTGTGTACTTCAGAGAGGGACTATTTTCCCCTCCAGAGAATATAGCTTGCTGGATGGTGCCGGCTGGAATACAATTCCGGGCCTCCCAGTCTAAACAGAGAAAAGTAAGAAAGCCAGGAGAGAGCACGCATGGCATCATCAGAACTGGGAAATTAGCTTGAAATCCCTCTGAAGTCTGATACATCGACCAGCATTCATGAGAACCGATGTGCTGGACTGGGGTAATTTACCCAGACACGGATAGATGAAGTTTGGGCATTCCCCCAACTGAAGCACCTCACCGCTATTTTTGGTGTGGTACCCTTGGGGTGAAAACACAGAGTTCTTGAAGTGTCCTGAAGGACTGTACCAATGTTGGGTGGTATCAGCCGGTGTCATTACAGGACAGTTTCATTACCAGATGGGTCCAGGCCCTGATCTGGAGCTGTCAACACGGTTGCCAGTTACTGTCAGTTCTAGTACTTCTGATGGCACAACAGGGTACCATCGTCATCATCGCAAGTTCTTGAATATCTTACCAGAACCAGAGGCAGCTGACAGGGACACCTGAAATTTATTTTCCTTCCATGCATAGAAACAACAGGAGCAAATGAGAATACACACCCGCGGCTGTCTTGTAAGGGGATGGGAGGAGCACTCCGCTGGCATCAAAGATCACGGCTTTATAATGGCACCATCCAGATTGCCTCTGCCGAATTAACCCCTGCGGGTGCTGCCGGATCCCAGCACAGAGCAGGTAAGGGGCGCGGGCAATGCTCCTCAGGTACATGCTGTGGAAAGTTTGCAACTGGCCCGTGCCGAACCAGGAGAGAGGCTAGGATGCAAAGTATAGAACGACAAGGGTAAATATTTATCCATGCACACGAAGTGTCCCAGCCAAACTGGGGCACCTGAATGTGGTGTAACACTGGGTCCTTAAACCCTTCAAATGGTCAGGTATGACATAATTTGACTAATCACTAACACCCACACTACTGATTACCCATCACAGCAAAACTTTGCAAAGTGACTACATTTTTGCAACGTTCTTTTTGCTTGTCTATTGATCCAGATGTCCCTGGAGTCAGTCCTGCTATAGTTATTCTTCTATGATCCAGACGATGCTGAGAGGGTTTCAAAGACGTGTTAGAGGGGCTATAGGACGCTGGCATTATCTTGATTATCCAGGCGTATCCTTTATCCTTCATGGACAGCTCTAAGCCATGAAGCGAAGTCCTTGTTTCCAGGGCTGGGCTGCCTTTTAGTTTCTTTTACTTAAGCATGAACCACACCAATGCCTGGCACAGCCCTGAGCTGCGAGATACCAGCGTGGTGGGTGTGAGGGGAAAGGAAGAAAAGGGTTTTTTGGGGGGGGGTTGGGGGTTTTCTGGGGGGAAGGGAGGCGCTTCAGCCTAAGGGGATGGGGCCTGGTCCCTCCAGCTTGGCTGCGTTGCCACGGCAACGGGGCCTGTGGCTCTGATGCAGGCCTG